AAAAAAAAAAAAGTTTTTTTTTTTTTTTTTTTTTTTTTGCTTACAACAAAACATGTAGAAAAGACAGTGCAGACATGACACGACACAACACAACCATGATAAGATTTTTTTAAAAAAGAAAAAAGAATTGATTCATTTATGGCATCATGGTGATGAACAATAAAACAATAAAAGATAGAATAATATTATGAAAATTGAAGCGAAGGGTTAGGTTTGATTAACATTTAATATTAGGGTTCTTGTTTTTTTTTGGGTGATTTGACCATTCATTCTCTCCCTTCTTACACAGACAGATGTGTATTTAAGTCAGTAAAAACCATATCAGAACGCAGAGATGCCCTTTATGCCACCTTTGTCTTTTCCTCTATGCCCATTTCCCTTGCGTTTATCTTAACTAATTTGGTTACACTCCCCTCCCCTCCACTCTTTCCCTCTTCAAATTCCCACTTCTTTCTTAACCTCCATAATGGTAAGATATCAACTTTCGATCATGTTTATCACCTCTTACAGTAAGCTTGTTTAACCATATATGTTGTTCTTGCTGTTGCAAATCACGACTTTCCATAATAGTATCATTTTGCCTACTTTGAACATAATCTCTCGTGACTTTACTTTTAGTTTTCTCAAAAGCCCTCGTACTAATAGAGATAATATTTCTTATTTAGAACACATCATCAACCCTTTAATTAACATGTTCGTGCTTGTTCACTTGCTTGCAACTCTAGCTAACTTTCTTTTATTTTAAGTCAAGTCATTTAGTTCGACCTTACCTCTACCTCTATTCTAGATCAAAATCTAGTCAATAGAGATCTATACCATGGATTATTATGAACTCTACTTTCAAAACTTTGCTCTGTTGAAGATTATTGGGAGTGAATCCCACATTAGTTAATTTAGTGGAAGATCATGGATTTATAAGTGAAGAATACTATCTCCATTGTATGAGGTCTTGTGGGGAAGTTCAAAGCAAAGCCATGAGAGTCTAAGTTCAAAGTGGACAATATAATACCATTGTAGAGAGTCGTGATTCCTAACATGCTCTTGTATTAGACTTGGTGATAATGAAACTCGATCCTTTGTTGGGTAATTTGTTTGGTGTTGTTTTGGGGAGCTCAGAAACCATGACCATCGACACTGGGTAAAGTCTTTGGGGGAGGTGGTTGTGGCCTGTGGAGGTTAGCAGCAGAGCTATAGCAGAGAGAGCCCTTTTCCCTAGAAAAACAAAAAAAGAAGCAAACCCTATTTTTTCTCTTTTTCTCTATCTGCAAACCCATAGGCGTGAAGAGAGGGAGAGTCCTTTGCCTGCTGCTATGCTTTCCTTTGCTTTGCTTTGTTTGTGGACACTTCTTGAATGGGTTTTTTTAAAGCAAATTGCATGCCTTTTTGCAGACCATTGAGTACCCAATTCAAATTTTGAACTACAAAATAGAAACAAAACAAACCCATTTCAAGAAACCATTAAAAACAACGTTAAAAATGTTAAAAGTTTTTATTTTTTCTTTTTCTTTTTCTTTTTTCTTGCATTACAAGTCAAGATTCAAAGAGGGGATGGAGAAAAAGGGTTGTTAATTTGACAGCCGCAATCACATTTGATTTAATGAACAAAGCCAAAAGGGAAATAAAGGAATTTAATAAAATATTGATCATCAAGTATGTAGAATTTATATATTTATTTATTGGTCCTTGTACCTTATTTTTTTAACTTTTTCTCCCCTCGTTTTGCTCTCCTTTTGTTTTTCTACCCCTGGTTGCTTTTCTAGTTTAACGTCTAGAGAATTGTGCATCCAATCTAACATGGATGGTTTAGTAAATAGAAAATTCTTTATTGCTATTTTTATTTTCACTAGTTTCCAAACCTTTTTAAATGGACATAAATTAACTTAATTTCCATTTGAATTCTCCAACTTAAAAGATCAATTTCAGTTTAAACGAGGAACATGAGAAGGAATCGTTCTCCACGTTCATTAGTTAAATAGGTCGAGAATGAGAATATATTTCTCCAAATTCCTAATTATAAATGGAGAATTTTGCAAGGATGAAAAATTGAAATATGAGGCAAAGATAGGAAAGACTTCTCTATCTCACCCTGTCCTTACATCTCTATTTATAAATCGTGAATTTATACAAGTTCTCTCTAACTTCAAAATAAAAGTTATAGTTTTAAATCCGTCACCAAAGTCCTAAAAACTAAAAAGTGAAAATACGTTCATATAAACTCGGAAATCAGTGCAAATCTATTGATTTACACAACTCAATTTCATATTACACAAATTTAACTTCAATTATATAAACCCAAATCTAAAGAGTGAAAAGAATAATATTTTGGTTTGAAAGAAAGAGTAAAAAAGGGTTGTGGGTTAGGTGAGATTAGGGCAGACAAAGGAATCTGAACCAAAGTCCTTCCTTCTGCTCCCCATTGCCGCTGTCCCTGCAAACAGCACAACCCTCGAGCTCTCAGTACCCTACTTACAAACAAAAGTTTAAACCCCATACACGTACCTACACTAACCGATACGATATTGTCCACTTTGGATGGTTGCATTTTCGACTGAACTGTATATTGAAAAATATAGATGCATGGATGTATGGATTATGATATGGATGGTACGTAGGGGGAAAAGGTGTTGACTCAGAAACAAAAGAAAAGGCTGTGGAAGTGAGCTATTTGGATGCTGTAGGCTCTGTGGATGTGAGGATCTTTCAGCTTCCTATCAATCTCTCTGTGTTTGTCTCTCATAGGGTGTCATTCCATGTTTTTGTTGCTACAAATCATTTCAAATCAAATACTTTTTTCTTAGCTCTACCTCGTCTCTCTTGAAGGGACAGAGTCTTGAACCGAACTCTTAAAGGGGTAGAGTCTTGAACCGAACTATTAATTACAATCGAATGAATGACTTTTCGAACGTTATTTTGAAGGAGTGAAAGTGTAGTCATAATAACCCTAGCAAGCCAAAGTCTAATTTATTGTTGAGTTTCAATTATATTTCTAAATTTCAAAAAGTTTCTTTTTAACCTATGAACTATTTTATTTATTTTTATATAAAATACTCCTTTAATTTTTTTAATTATTGATATAAATTGATATGACAATTGATGTGAATATATAAAAAAATTAAGATCTTAATCACCATTTATTTCAATTTAAAAACTATCATTAACATCGTTTTATAATGTAATTGATAGAATCAATTTTTATAGATTTTTTAAAAATAATTTAATACATTATTTTTAAAAAAATTTATAAACCAATTGCATATCTAAAAAACTCCATAGATAATTTTTTGGAACAATTTAAAAATGGATCAGTATCTGTATATTTTGAGCCAATGGGCCTGAAGTCAGGTGTATACCTACCCAAAGGCCCATTTCATATGGGCCTTAAGCCCTCAAAACAAAGTTCAGCCCACAACTAACTCCGATGAAAAAGATGAAATTTTGGAATACCTGTGAAAAATGATTTGGAAAGAAGCCATCCACTTTATCCTAATGTAATTGGAAGAACATGACTGGCAAATAAACCCACAAGTGGCTAACCCATTGGCCCCAGAGAACAAGGGAACATGTGTTCAAATCCTATCCAGAAGTCAGAAGGAAACTGATAAATCTAAAACTTTTCCTCTCCAATCGTTTTCTTTCCCCTGTTTCTCCTCTTTTCTCTACTCCTCCAGCAAAATATTGAACTTTCTTGGCGCAGGAAGACCCCAATTGCAGCCCTTCATGGCACTTTCTTCTGTTTCCTCACTATCACTAAAATGTCTACCCTCATCTTCCTCTAAATCAAAGGTTCCGAGTTCTCTACAACCCAGAAAACCATTTTCCATTGTCTCTCAAGTAAACTTACAAAAGGGTCAAACTCAAGGTGAGCATGGTACTCTTCTTCTCCCCCTTGTTTTGATGGCGGCTACTGTCTTCCGTGCTTGTTGTCTTCGCTAACTAGAAGTTCCTTGAAAAGGAAGATTGTTCGGAGAGGAAACACATTGGCAAGATTTCAGAGCCAAAGAGATGGCAAAAGTTGGTTTCAACTGCCTTGGCTGCTGCTGCAGTCATTAGTTTCAGCTCAGGCATGCCTTCAATTGCTGAACTCAACAAGTATGAAGCCGATACGCGTGGCGAATTCGGGATTGGATCCGCTGCTCAATTTGGTTCTGCAGATCTCAGGTCTTTAGGCTTTCAGATAATACTGATCTGTTCCTTTATTGCAAAGTAATTGAACAACACTTGCTTATAATGATAATCCATAAATTTCTTCTATGAACAGAAAAGCAGTGCATGTGAACGAAAATTTCAGGTAGTTTTTCACTTGTCTCGTCATTTCTTTGTGTCATGATGCTTTGATTCTTACAATCCCTGTTCTGAAACTAGTCACAATGGAAGAATTGCAAAGAACGTGTAGTTCAAATTCGGGGGCAAAAGGAATCCTATAAGTGATATATAAATAAAGTGAAGTCATTAGCTCTTTGCTTTGAAATGATAACTTCAGGCGCAATCTATATACTTAATGCCCAGTGCTCATCTTTGAATCTAACGCCTGTACAGGAGAGCCAATTTCACATCTGCTGATATGAGAGAATCAGATTTCAGTGGCTGTACATTCAATGGCGCTTATCTTGAAAAGGCTGTTGCATACAAGACCAATTTCTCAGGTAAGCTTGTTACTAATTATCATAGGAACCTGAATGACAATGAAACCATTAAACATGAGCTGCCAAAACTTTGTATGCCATATAACTTATTCTGTAGATGTATATATAAAATCACAGAGTCAACTATTCTGTTGGTTGGCATTGGATTTAAACGTCCTCTTGCTTTGTCTCCAAGGGCAATGTGGTGCTGCCTTCAAACCCTGCACCACAACCCTATTTTTCATAGGTTCAGGGCCAGTTGCAAGTTCTCCTTGCTTGGATTTCACATGATCAAATTCTCTAAAAAACTTTCCCTCTATACTTCCATCCTCATTCCTAGGTGTCTTCCTCATTGGATCCTCCAAAATTTTATGGTCTTCAGACACATTCCCGTGAGTGATTGGAGCTGCAGAGAAACTCGCAGCACTTGATTTCTTTGCACCTTTGGTTAATGCTTCAACATTCCAATCTCTGTTTTCACCTCTTGAACCATCATTCTTCAAGAATTTTGAGCCATGTTGAATTCTAACTGGGGGAGCACCTATTCCACACCCAGGAGGAAAGCTTCTAACCGCTGAAAGACCTTTCCGGGGTGGATGAAACTTAGGCAATCTATCCGAAACATGTTCCTTTGGAACATTGGCAATCTCATTCTCATCTTCAGAAGGACTTAAAACAGTAAGAGAATCAAGTATTATTGCAGAATCAAGTACTGCATCCTTCATCATGGAAACATGGTAGTTCTCTGGTTCCAACACACTAGAAGTTAATCTATGATTCCTATTACACTCCATCACAAAATCAAGAAGCGAAAAAATCTTTTGTTGCTGGACCTCCATTGAAACCTCCTGAGTTGAAGACTCCATCTAACACCTCTAACCAAAACAAAATCAAAATAACAAAATCTAGAATTACAAGTTAAGCAAAAGAAAACCTATGTTTATACACGCATTACATTCATGGATTCATCAAGAATAGATTACAAAGATTCAGAGAAACAAAATGAAGAGTTAAATGCGCGCGATTTTCAGAACTCTGCTTCGAAATCGAGGAGAAAAAAGTATAAAACATTGATAGGAAGATCCAACCTTCGAGTCCAGAAAAAGTGATTGTCATCCGCTCATCAGGATCAATGTCACTCAGATTTTAGGGTTTGCGGATTCACTTGTTTTATCGCTACTGCTCAGACGATGCGATGAAGCTGTAGGCGGAAAAGAAAAATCTCTCTTTTTCAATTACGAAAAGAAAAAAAAGAGTTTTGATTTATTTATTATTTATTATTTTTAATGCAGAAACATAATAATTAGAAAAAGAAAAAAAAAAAACAAATATCAGTTTAATAAGAAAAATAGAGTGAAAAATAAAGAAAGAACATATGAAAAGAATATTACTCTCTAATTTACAAATTTATTTATTATTATTATTTTGAAACTCAATAATGTGTTGAATTTTTCTTACTATTTCAGGCGCAGATTTGAGTGACACATTGATGGATCGTATGGTAATTATTTCTCAATGTGATTTTAAAATATAATATTTTATATTTATGGAATTAAATTTAATAAAATATGTATTAGTATATTATTTATGGAAATAACTTTTGGAATGGTTAAGGTATTGAATGAAGCAAATCTTACAAATGCGGTGTTGGTTCGATCAGTGCTAACACGGAGCGATTTAGGAGGTGCCACTATCGTGGGTGCTGACTTTAGTGATGCTGTCATCGACCTTCCCCAAAAGCAGGTTTATCTATTAAATATAGTTTAAATGATTAAGACGTATACTTCCAATCTAAAATCGTAATTTTTAGGCACTTTGCAAGTATGCGAGTGGGACGAACCCAGTGACGGGAGTGAGCACGAGGGCAAGCTTAGGGTGTGGAAATAGTCGCAGAAATGCATATGGAACACCGTCATCTCCGCTACTCAGCGCACCGCCGCAACAATTGCTTAATCGTGACGGTTTCTGCGACGAAGGCACTGGTCTTTGTGAAGCCAGTAAATAGATGTATGTATATTTAATAAATCTTGTTTATACTAATCTCAATTTCCCATCTTGTTTTAGTCTTGGTTTAATAAAATCTGACATATTGTAATTTGAAATCATGAAAGTGGGCAGATGGTTCGGTTTTCCACTGATTAACAAATATATATTATAGAGATTACAGAGCAAGACTGTCCCTTATGATTATTCATAGAATATGAAAATGGTTCGACATTTTTGTACAAAAGGGTGTATGGTATTGTATGGGTTTGTGTCCTTGATCAGATCAAGCACTGTAACCCTTATTTGAAGGATGCCACACCCCCCCGTATCTCCGCCGTCCATTACAGGCCGCCATTGAAGCTTCCCTCATTGATGCTTCTGATACCCCTTTGTTGCATATGTTTGCGATTGCGCGCATGTGTTTCATTCCGTACTGGGTCAGTGAACCACAATGCTCCTCCAACACTCTCACCTGCAATTTTCCAAATCATGAGGATTCAAACAAGCAGGAATGTGGTTAGTTTAAACGATTTGAATGGCTTGATGAACTTGACATGGGTACGCGTGGGAAGGTTAGCCAGGGAAGTACTATGGTTCGTCTTAGTACTATGGTCTGGTGGAGAGCTCATATGAGAACGTTTGGACTCGGTCCTTTTTGCACAGCACAAGGGATGTTAGTTCAAACAATTTGCAAGGCTTGATAAACTTGACATGGGTACGTGTGGGAAGGTTCCCAAGGGAAGGAGAAGACGAAGGATGTTTAGTACTATGATCTGGTGGAGAGCTCGAATGAGAACACATTGGACTCATTGTCTTTTTCTTGATTTTAAAACTTTAGCTTATAAACGATGATCCAAGAAAGTTTAGAATCGTACCATTGACTTGAGACATTTCCAATCATCCACAAGAGGCAAACCAGAAGCTCTCACATGATCAATAACATTGGAAACGTTCTCTGGTCCAAACAGAAGAAAACCAATCATTCTGATGCTTCCATCCAAGTGAGCTCTGTGTGCAATAGTCTCCCTAATTTCCTCGAGGACTTCGGCTCTCTCGTTTGTTCCTTCTTCCAATTTTCTATACTGAAAAGGATATCAAAACAGCTATAGTTTAATTCGGAAAAAACGAACTCCGTTTCTGATCGTCTAAGGATTGTATTTGCAGCTGAAATTGTTACCATTTGCCACAGGAAGAAGATGTCTGCATCTCTCTGGTTAATTGTCTCCATAGTCTTCATTTCAAGCCCGCCATTGTAAGGAGGCAAGTTCACCGATGCAGGGTCGAATCCTTGATACAAGTACAACCTCTCCGCTTTAATGCTCGAGTTTCCATATTCCATTACATGAGATCCTGCATTCAAATCATTGGGACTTGCTGTTCTTTTCTTCACCTGCAGCACAAATGCTTGAAGATTGATGAACAGAAGCCTTTTCTGGTGAATATAATGAAGAGAAAATGTAAACGAATGGCAGAGAAAGATTCATCATTACAGTCTCATATTGTTGGTCAATTGTTTCTCTCTTCAGATTGTGAGTCTCACTGGGAAAAACGATGAGCAAATGTTAAAAGTTGAGTGATTTGTTGTGTTTTCAAAACAAATTAGTATTCTCTACCTATCTTCCATCCAAGCAACACTATACAAATCTCCTAAGCAAGTCATGTAGTCCGGCGGCGGAGGCGGCTGCATTCCCGGACAGTAAGTTCCGAAGCTACTCTCTTCAGCATTCGATGCTGTCGTTACATATATATTCAAATCCTTTGGCATTACACCCTCGAATATACTCCCACTCTCACATGCTTCTACATAGATAACCTGGAAAAATACAACATTACAGAATGTTTCAACCATCTAACAATATAAATGCTCTTCATACCATCTCTTTGTAGCCCTTAGCAGCATGCTTCTTCTTTAACACTTCAATGAAGTCCATGGCATAGACAAAAGGCAAGTTGGGCATGCCTGTAAATGAGTATGCAGTGGCTTAGTTTAACAAATTCAAATGATATCAGTTCAATTAGTTTGTTCTAGAACAGATACCAAGTACTCCAGGGCCTCCATGATCGGAATAGTACACAAAAATCCGGTCATTTGGTTTGCTGTCTACAACTTTTCCACTCCCTCCAGTAACAGCAGTTTTGTTGCCCAGAAGAACAGCATATAGATTCTGAGCAGTGACCTGCTCTCCAGTGTAATCCTGTACAAAATTCCACAAGAGCTATCAATTTAAGCTTTTGGGTTTCTTTATCTAACACTTTCCTTAGCTCATCAGTTCATTTCCATGAATTTTGTGGCTACTCTGCCTTTTAGCAGGCGGGGAAAAGGGAAAAAGAATGGTAGATTTATGTACCTTGGGGACGCCGACGTAAACATTCTGTCCTTGTGGGTGGTTGATGATGATTCCAGGCCTCGGATTCAGGACATTCCCAGCAATATCATCGTACATAAACACAACAATGTTTTCATCCTTCAAGCCCCCTTTCTTCAACAGCTGATAAGCATGGCAGATATCCGCCTACTCACACGAAAATCAAAAACCCCATGACTTCAGATATCAAATTAAACCATTTCAAATTCTAGTTTTCACATTTGAAATACCTGATGCCTGTAATTCCCAAACCCAGAAGAACCAGCTACAAGAACTGCCCATCTGGTACCCAGTTTTTTATCATCAGCAGCAGCAGCATCATCATCAACCAGCTCCCCCTTCTCCGTCGGCATTCGGATGGTCCTCTCCCACCGGTCCCATGGCACGGCCCTGGCGCCACTGTAAGCAAGAAACAGAAGAAGCAAGAGGAGAAGAGAAGAGGTAGACGGGGAGGCCATGGAGAAAGAAAGCTAAATTAGCTCAAAAGAGAAGGAGGTGGATTAAAACACTGAAATGGGGAAATGGAAGGAAGGCCATGGGCGGTGTGAGCAGAGGCATGCAAAATTAGAGAAGGACACGAAGAGGAATGGAATTTGCAGCTGGTGGGACCTGATTGTTCATGGGTCTAGCAGGTGGGTCTGTGTGTGACGGATTTGTTCTTGTCTGTTCATGTTGTTGGGGTGAGTGATCTTGTCACACTTATCCTTCGTTCAAATTCAGTCCTCGTCTCTTCTTTCTTTCATTTTCCTTTTTCCTTGTAAAGTACTCATCTCTTCTTTCTTTCTTTTTCCTTTTTCTTGAAAAGTATTTCGTAGTGGTTCCCCTTTATACTTCTTTTGTTGCTCCTATAGCTTTTACTTTTTATTTACTCAATTCCAATTCTAAATCATTTCAGATTTTGTTCTAAATTTTCAATTATAGATTGAAGAGACATACCAACTGAAAAAACAATCAAGAACTTACAGTGCAACTGATACGTGCAACCTCTTTCGGGTTAGAGGTCACACCAATCTCACCAAAGAAGAGTCTAAATGGATGTTCTGGCTTCATTGATGAAGAAATGGATTATACATTCAAAATTGTTTGCATTTGGGTCGCATTTAACGGATCGGACCGCAAAGTTTTTGAATAATTACACCTTGCTAGGAGGGCCGAGTGTTTGGGAGGCCGCTCTTCAAAACTTCCTGGAACAGCGATTCTTGCAAAAACATGGCACAAATGAACAATAGAACACAAATCCCTCCTTGAAAAGACTAAGAATCGCAGGTTGATTTCCAAACAGGAAGCAAAATCAAGCAGCAACTTCTTGCTCTTTGGTAGCAAGTTGGTTCTGGATGTGCTGAGGGACAACATCAAACTTGGCTAATTGCATTGTGTACGAAGCTCTGCCTTTTGTCATCCCCCTCAGCGTACTGACATATTGAAACATCTCGGCTAGAGGAACCAGCGCATCCACGACCTGCGTTGTTCAAAACTTTGTTGATCATATGCTCTACTGAATGTATAATAGTTCATTAATGAAAGTGATTATATGAGGTTATTGGAAGTTTATTTGTAACCGCTCAATCCCCGCTATCAGATATTGTCCTCCTTGGACTTTCTCTCAAGATTTTAAAATGCGTTCGTTAGAGAGAGGTTTCCACATTCTTATAAACGAAACTTCCCAACCTGTGGGATCTCATAATCCACCACCCCATTGGGTGCTAGCGTCTTCGCTGACACACCCCCCAGTGTCTGACTCTGATACCATTTGTAAACAATCCAAGCCCACCACTGGCAGATATTGTCTTCTTTAGGTTATCCCTTCTGGGCTTCCTCTCAGCGTTTTAAAACGCATCTGTTAGGGAGAGGTTTCCACACCCTTATAAGCAATGTTTCATTCCCCTCTCCAACCGATGTTGGATCTCACAATCCCCCCTTGGGAGCCAACATTCTCGCTGGCACACCGCCCGGCGTTTGGCTCTGATACCATTTGTAACAGCCCAAGCCCATCGCTAGTAGATATTGTCTTCTTTGGGTTTTTCCTTTCGGGCTTCCTCTCAAGGTTTTTCCTTTCGGGCTTCCTCTCAGGGTTTTAAAACGCATCTGTTAGGGAGAGGTTTCCGGACCCTTATAAGCAATGTTTCGTTTCCCTCTTCAATCGAGGTGGGATCTCACATCTATTTTTGTTGTGTGAGGGCATTTAGATTTGTTGTATACCTTGAGACCACCGGGCTTGTCACCAAAGCTGTTGATCTGGCCTCTCCTGGAGTTAAGATCTCCAATTACGTCTCCTAGGTGTTCCTCTGGGGTGACAACTTCGACTTTCATGATCGGTTCGAGCATTCTAGGACCTGCTTTTCTCATCCCTTCTCTGAAAGCTCCCCTAGCTGCAAGTTGAAAGGCCAAGACACTTGAATCTACATCATGGTATGAACCATCGACTAGCACGGCACGAACATCAACCACAGGAAAGCCAGCAAGAACACCATTGCTCATACACTCTTCCAATCCCTTGACCACCCCAGGAATGTATTCTTTTGGCACTGCTCCACCCTTGATTTCACTTTTGAACTCGTATCCACTGCCTGCATCCATTGGTTCGAACCGCACTGTAATATCAGCAAACTGTCCTTGACCACCTGATTGTTTCTTGTGCACATACTTTACTTCTGAAATTTTAGAAATACTTTCTCGGTAGTTAACTTGCGGTGCTCCCACATTAGCTTCAACCTGTTTAAACCAAGCAATCAAAGCATCCAGTTTAACTGTTAACTTCGCTCTTACAAGAAAAGTTTTTCAAGCAATAAAAGATTTTCATGGCTAGCAGTAAAGTATCAAGCAACTTATACAAACCTTATATTCCCTCTTGAGCCTGTCAACAATGATTTCAAGATGCAACTCTCCCATGCCTTCGATCACAGTCTGGTTTATCTCTTCATCACGCGAGAAGTGGAATGATGGGTCTTCTTGAGCCAGCTTGATTAAACCAGTTGCCATCTTATCAACATCAGCTTTTGTTTTCGGCTCGATTGCAACCTTAATCACAGGGTCAGGGAAGTCCATCCGTTCAAGTACAACGGGATGATCTGGGTCACACAGGGTTTCACCGGTAATGGTATCTTTAAGACCGGCTAGAGCGATAATATCCCCAGTAAGGGCAACCTTTACATCCTCTCTGCTGTTTGCATGCATTTCTAGAAGTCTACCAATTCTTTCCTTTTTTCCTTTGTTTGAGTTCAATACATAAGACCCTGCAGAAAGTTTACCAGAGTAGACTCTCACAAATGTTAGTGATCCTACGAACGTATCACTCATGATCTTGAAAGCTAGACCAGAAAATGGTTCGTCATCACTGGCAGCCCTCTCAACTATCAGTTCTGGGTTCTCGGGGTCGGTTCCCTTCATGGGTGGCAACTCAACTGGTGAAGGTAAATAGTCCACAACAGCATCAAGTAATGGTTGGACCCCTTTGTTTTTAAACGCAGAGCCACACATCACTGGAACAAAAGAAGCAGATATCGTCCCCTTCCGAATGAGCTTCTTAATGGTAGACTCATCAGGTTCGATTCCTTCCAAATAATTCTCCATGGCTTGATCATCCAACTCAACAATATTCTCAATCATCTGCGAACGATAATCTTGAGCAAGATCCTCAAGGTCTTCTGGAATATCTTCATACTGAAACTTTGCACCCAGCTCTTCTCCTGACCAAACTATAGCTTTCATCCTCACAAGATCAACAACACCCTTGAAGCTATCTTCAGAGCCAATTGGTAATTGAATAACAAGCGGCTTAGCACCCAAGTTCGTCACAATCATGTCTCTTGTTCGGAAAAAGTTGGCTCCAAGACGATCCATTTTGTTGACAAAGCAAATCCTTGGCACTCCATACTTATCAGCCTGCCTCCACACAGTTTCAGATTGTGGTTCAACTCCAGCAACACTGTCAAACAGACATATTGCTCCATCCAGAACTCTAAGTGCCCGCTCCACCTCAAGGGTAAAATCGACATGACCTGGTGTATCGATAATATTAATGCGGTGTTTGTTCCAAAATGTGGTAGTTGCAGCAGATGTAATGGTAATTCCTCTTTCTTGTTCTTGCTCCATCCAGTCCATTGTAGCTGTTCCCTCGTGTACTTCCCCTATCTTGTAGTTTCTTCCTGTGTAGTATAGAATACGTTCAGTTGTAGTTGTCTTACCAGCATCAATGTGAGCCATGATTCCAATGTTCCTATAGTCTTCTAGCGGGACCGAGCGCTTCCCATCTGCAAACAAAAGATGAAAACACGTACATCCCCGTTGAGTACTTTCTTCTTAGATAACTTGCATCAGTGAAAGAGTAGGCTGCTGTGTTAGATAACAATTAAACTACAAAAATACAGAACTCGCACAAGAATTTGATTTTTGCTATTTTACTAATACTTGTACTTAGATCTGCTATTCTGTCGTAGCCTGGCTGAGGAAGAATTACGGGGCGTAAAACAAAAAAATATGTTGATTCAGGTTGGGTGTACTTTTATTTAATTTATAACGGAACCCCTAATGGAAGGAACGAATGGGATTTCTCCCTCTCCAACTCCACTAGAATCAAGGAGGGTCGATCTGTGATCGTAGCGTAATAGCTATTCCTATGCCTTTCTAACTCTCTAGTGGCTAAACCTGTAACCAAGGCAACATATCTTCTTTAAAATCTCAAAAGTGAACAAGATTTAATAAATATTATTGAGGAAACCCCTGCAGAAAATGAAAACCAAAGAATTGAAACCAAGAGCTAAGAGTTGTAATATAGTCCTAATCAATAAGAACACATCCAATTCTATAGGGTTTTATAATTTAAAATAACAAGTGAGTATTAAAAATAACGCTTAGAATTCAAGCCTCATTCTCAGACCCAGAGCAATTCAAATTAAAATTGAAAGGAATGTTGAAAACAAGCAACCACAAGCAACCATTGACAAGCTAAGAAGCCTCACGAATTCAGAACTCGTTCACAAAAGAACTACGAACTACGACAGCCGATCTTAAAATTGAATATTCGCGATAGAATGATGACAAGAAAGAATACCTTCGGCAGCCATGGCAATAACAGAGAGGTTGTGTCTGTTCTGATTAAGGAGCTTGGATGAAGCTGATGAAGCGAAACGAAGGTTTCTACCAAAGAATTGGGAGCGGGAAGACAGAGTAAAGGAGGAAGAAGGTCGGGAAGAACGAATGAGAAAGGGAGTTCGAGAGAGAGGCTTTGCAGGCCTTCTCTGATAGCCATTGAAATTGCAGACTGAAGAAGCTGCTCTCACTGACTCTGCCGCCATTATCGTCTTCCTAGCTCTCCGTCTCTCGGAGAGATTTGGAACGGCAATGGAGTTTTCCGAGTTCGTGAAAGGGTGCGTCGGATTACAACCAGTAGATAACATATCGAATTTCTGCAGTTTAGAAATTGTTTTTCCAGAACTACCCTTCTACAATCACAATAATATCCCAATTGCCCTATCCAATCATTTTCATTTTTATAGGCTATCCTTAAGCTCAACTTAGGTATTAGTGCATAAGCGGTTCTCAGCTTAATAGCTCGTTATCTTGATGCTCTAAGCTATCTTGATTTGATTTGATATATGTCATAGGCATTCAAGGCGCAAGCCCGTTATAAGTTCCAATTTATCGTTTTCATCGTATCGTTATGAACGGTTCTTAAATTCTCTAATAGAGTTTAGTTGACATCTCTTTAATAGGTTCGACAACCCAAAAATCATCTACCCATGTGGTCCCTTGCTCGCATCCGAACAAGAACACAATGACGAGTGGTTTGAGACTCATAACTGAACCCCCTGAAGGTCTTATAAGGTTTTCATCTAAGTTCATGCATTTTAGTGCATAACTCAAGTTCAACCTACTCATAATCATAGATGTATGATTATGAATATTTGTCGATCAAGGCTAGTTCCTAACAAAGTACAAATCATGTATCGTCGCCTACCTCCAGCCAACATCCATTCACATGCTATTTGTTTCTCTTTTGGTTCTTTCGATTTAGGCTCTTATAGATCCTAACCTCTTCAGTAATCTTGTAGTACTCCTCAAGCTGAATCTAATGAGCCAAGAATCATGAAGCTTCATAAGAAATGAGGAAGATATGAGTGTTCAAAGTCACGAAAAATTTCATGAATCTTATCTTCAATCTCGTACTAGATCTCCTCCTACACGCCTTCTCATCTCTCGGTTAAGTCTCACCTTTCACAAATAAAACTCCTCAAACCTCTCTCCAACTTGCCCTATGATGTGCCTTCACGAATTTGAAGACGAACAACCTCCAATCCATCTAATCTCCCAGAAATCTTACGAAATTCAAGTTCTATATTTGTAGTCGTCAATCCTGAACAATGTATGGCCAGTGACTATGACGTTTTTTATATTTTATTTATTTATTATCTTTCATTTGATATTATGAGCACTCTAGCTCTTTAGACTACGATCTAACTAATGTTCTTTACTCATTTCCCTTCTCTTTTTATATGAATAAAATATATATAATTTGCCCAAAACGTCTTGAAGCATAAAAATCTTACTTCCAATTGTAGACATTGCGTGGTGGTGTTTCATTGAAGGTTATAAATGGCAATTTCGTAATTTGGATTGTAACTATGGGCAGAAGTGTCAAAGTGAGCTGTGGGACATGACAGTTTGGATTTGGCAAAGAGCAGGCTTGGAAGGCGCCACATAGCCTTGCAATTCCACACCGCACATTATAGGATGTGGTTTTAGCCAAACCATTTCCCTTTCCTCACAACTTCAACCTCAAATATATATCAATTTTCAAAACGTAGTTAAATACCCGACCCAGTTCTAGTTTCATTCTCGTGGAACGCGTCCTCAAAATATTGAACTAATTAGGTCGACTCAAGGCTTGACAAACCAACTGTGACCCTACTTTCGATAGAGCTCAAACTCACAAGCCCTATTCGTCGTACATGCTTTCGGCTTTTGTATCCTTTTATATTTGAGTGGGACTAACAATATATATAACTTCATACCTTAGGGATATATTTTAGGTAATATTTGTTATTTTTTTATTACAAAAATTGGGAAGTTGGGATCTCGCGTAATTTCTTGTTTAAGTCAGTGGGCTGGATCGCACCAAGTAGGCCCGGCCCATTAGGTGCTCAAGCCCGTACTTGGGCCCATCATGGCTAATAATGTCACAATTCAGCAACTGGCCACTCTTGTCCATTAATGTAAGGGTGGAGTGGACCCATAAGATATTTCCTGTTTTTCCCTCTATAATTTTTAATATATGGATGAATCTGGTAGAGAAACGAAAAAAACTTGACTAATTTCTAAATTTTATATGTTTTAACAATAAATTATGCAATCGAGAATATAAGGAAGGTAATGGATACTCATAAATAGTAACATTAGAATTACAGGATAATAATTACATTACTAATCTCATAATATCCAAATTTTGGTTTCACTTTCCCAAGAAACAAACAAGATAAAAAGTGACTAGGGCAGAACGCCTTGGGCCGCCGCTGCCGACGAAGCATAGGTGTTAATAAGAGCAAGCGAATTGCTGGTCAAATGCGCAACTCTAACAATGTGCCGTCGGACCATAGCCTTCACACTGAACCTATTATTAACACTCCGCCCGCCAAACCCTTCCATACACGTCTCTTCGTCGGTCAGAGCAGAGCTAACCCATGTCTCAATGTCGCTAATCAAAGCCCCAAAATCATACCCTCTAGGACGACGCAATTCGCGAATTGCCCTTTGAAGCTCGAACACTGAGTCGCCTACCTCCTCTATGCAATCGGAGATTGCCGACGCGTCTCTCCGCCGTAGGCCACGGGTTTTGGCTAGTCTTCTCATTGCCACAGCTGTGGATCGGGCGGAGGCGAGATTGACATGGAGGGCAGCGAGAACTAGTGTCTTGGGGTTGGTCTTGATCTTGCCGGCGTACACCGAGAGTGAATTGTAGCAGAGGCGAGGGTATGAAGTGGCACTGCACGAGGTTCTCACATACTCTGTGTTTGTTCTGATTCTAGCTGGGGATTTGTGGGTTCTTGTGGCGGCGGCGGCGGAGCAGATATGAATTTGGTCGGAAATTATGAGGAGGAGGAGAAACAGGAATTTGGGAAGAGAAAAATGGAAATTCTCCATTGTTTGCTGGTGTAGATCTGGGTGTGAGGGGGAATATGAAGATCTGGAGAAGAAGGGGAACCAAATTTATGGTGGGGAATTTGGTAATTAAAGATCGTGGTTCCCACAAACAGGGAAAATGGTAATATGAAATTGGAGTGAATTTGAGACACAATTGAAACAATTGGTACGATGTTAGTTAGCTTGATTATTGAAGATTATCAAAGAAATGGACCCACCTCCTCCACGCACACCTCTTCAATAAAATTTGTTTAAATTAGGCTCTATAGATTTCATGATTATGTTTGATAATTAAGAGAAAAACATGATGTCAGAGGTACCAAAATCAAAATTATATGTAAAATATCATTTAATTACATAATTAATAGGATATATGAGGATTTAAAATGATAGTTCCCATCAAAAGAATATCAAACTATATATATCAAACTGATTGTTGCTAAGTACCTCCTACATTAATTGCACACTTAATTAATTTCCTATATATATAAATATATGTATCATATGAATTTAAGGCCGTTTATGTGACCCGATAACTCAATCAATTTGGATTATCCAATCCAAAAATAGGTTACAATAGATATATACTTTTTGAGTCAGGTTGAATTTTTCAATTTTTTTAATTAGATCAATTAGAGTAACCGAGGTTAGTGACTTGTTGTGGCTTTTAAATTTTTAACCCTTAAAATTTTAGTTATTAATGTAATATATATTAAGCATAATTAAAATTAAAAAAAAAAAAATCTGATAATCCAGTCCTAACTCGAGTTGGGTGGTAAACTTTAAAATTTTCAAAATTAATGGTAAGTTTTAAAATTTGTGGGTGAATTAGTGGATCCAGTTACCTTCAAGGTTAAATTTAATAAAATTAAAAATTTAAGTTTTCTTATTTTAAATTAATTTATTTCAGCACTTATTAAAAAAAATTATGGGAGGTTGAAAATAATTTCTATAAATATTAGTCATTTCTCATTCATTGAGAGCCAACGTCAAAATCAAAATTATCTTTCAATAAATAGATTTTTGTACGTTTGAATAATTTTATATTATTTATTGATGTAAGAAATAGGTTCTAATTTAAATTATTTTTTTATGTCCTTAATTTAAAAATTAATGAAACTATACATTTTAACGTAATAAACAAGTTTATTCATTAAAAAAAAAAAATCATTACGTACGGATATTTGTTTTTCTTCAATTATTAACTATTTTAGAAAGTGTCGTATCAAATAATTATAATTAATTATTTTTAAAAAAATATAACAAATTCTTTTCAAAGTTAAGTATCGATTTGTTTTACGCATTGATGTAATATTTATAATTTTTAATCCTAATTCTTTAAATCTTATAACTATTTTTTATGAAAGAACTCAATTTTATAAATTATAAAATATAGAACTAAATTATTACGAAATTAAAGTTTATGAATTAAATGGTTATTTTCTTCAAAATTTATGAGCAAGAGTGTTTTTATACCTACTTTTTAATTAATTTAAAATTAATTTTTAATATAATATATGTGTTTTTGTAAAAAATAGATTTTACAACTTTATTAATTAATGTAACCGTATAAATTAGTGCAATCATAAATTAAAACAAACAAATTTTATTCCTTAAATTAATTCAAAGTAATATTAATAATTAAATAATACAATCTAATAACTAAAATTAACTAATAATTAATTAAGTAAGTCTTTTTTGTTGTTTATTTTGTAGGTGAAAATATTACACTTAAATGAAGTGTATAAGAATTTGTTTTCGTATTATAATTTTGTGATCTTTTTAAAAAATAAAAACATTAATAGCTCTTAATCAACGAAAAAGGAGGAAATGTGACCCATAATTGTGATACTCGAGTAAAGAATGAGTACATAAATGAACTTAATACCACATTTGAATGAGAACTATAGTCACTACTTATACCAACAAGGTATTTTTTTTTTTTTTTCGATGATTCAATCATAGGAACTTTAAAGTTAAACTCGCTTTGTTTTGAACAATTCTATATTAGGTGACCACGTGTAAAATTTTATATGATGTATGTGAGCGAAAACATGAGTAACTTGACCATGTTGTAGGGGATGCAGGGGTTTGTTGAGGTTATCAAATGTCAAATCTAGATTCTAAATCTTAGACACCAACCTTGCTTGAAGTGAACTTTAAGCATTTAGCCTTTTTTATCCTCCATGCCTAAGACATCGACATTGGGTCACGAGTTTAATTTTTAGGTCTCGATTAGTTGGTTGGAATTGGGTGGATTTTGTGTATATTCATGTCATTAACACAACTTCCTCAACCCTACACTAATTAAGAAAGAAAAGGAAAAAATGAATCTAAAACTATTTGGCACAATACTAACCATATATACAATAACCAAAAGCTTTGAAATTTAAGGAGACGATGGGGAACAAACGTAGTGAGTAGACAAGAGTATGAAAATGGAGTGACATTATAAAACATTAAGAACATACAAAGGAAAGGGAGACACGTGGGGCCACTGACAACGTGGAGAACAAATAGATCCATAAACCCGTGGTTCCAAGGCCCGTGCAGCTTTAAATTATTAAGGACGGGTGGAGTAATTTGAATTATTTTGTTGATCAAATATCTATAATAAGACCACTTATTTGAAATTCAAATCATTTCATGAGTAAGATTAATATATCAAACTAAAACAATTCTTAACATCTTTATATATATATTTAAAAATTAAAGGCTAATATATATATATATATATATATATATTTAAAAAAAATGGTCTATCATTTCGGATAAAAAATTATTCTTCGACCCACGTAAAATTTTTTTAAAAAATTAAATATTGATAAAACTTTTAAATATAGCGATAATAATAGTGCATTCTAGGAATAATATAGTTTAAAATTATATCATTATTTAAATAATAAATTTGATTTCAAAACTTTGAAAGCGGAAAATAATTAAATAAATAAGTAGATAACGAAACTATGGGCTTTTTAGTAAATTTGAAAGTATTAACATAGTTAGACCAAATGGGCTCAAAATCAATAAATGGGCTGGGCCTTGGCACTTTACAAAATTGCCCCTGACTTAATAGAAATTATTTAACAGTTTTTTAATCGAAATATTGTTAAACGCAACTATTTTAAATACATAATCTTTATAGCCTAAATAAATTTATAATTTATTTTGATCATTAGGGTTCAGGGTTTTTAGGAATTAGTGAGATTAAATATTTAAAGAAGAATAATTTATGATTTATTTTATTTTAATCACAAATCATTGGAATAAATAGACCATTAAATGGGTTGGCTTCTCAATCACACCTCATGTCAAATCTAAGTCAAATTTTGATTGGACAAAAGTCAACATAGTTGTTGTTTAATTTAGTTGGATAAAATCAACTCACGTCAAACTTTAAAATTATTTATGTTTGATTCAAACTCTTAAAAAAAAAAAAAAATTAATATCAAAATATCCTTAAGTTTTTTTTAAAAAATTCTCAACAATCCTCTTCTCGAATAAAATACATTTGTTATTTGACAGTTCAGGATTATATCGGTATGGCTAAGTTAAGAGCATTATTTCGATAACATACTAGGAATCAGGAATCACGAATCTCCACAATGATATACTTTGAGTATAAGCTCTCGTAACTTTGTATTTTGTTTTCCTAAAAGACCTCATACCAACAAAGATGTATTCCTTATTTATAAACCCATGATCATCCTTATTATAATCAATGTGAGACTTCCTCTCAACAATCTTCTGTTAGGATCGATACCAGTTGTTAGCTCTTATTCCAATTGTTAGGATCACTCAATAACGCACACACTCGATCAAGATGAATACAATGAACAAGAGAGAGAAAATACAATGAGGAATGTTGGCTAAAGGATTTATTATTGATTACTTCATGTACGTACAACAAGATATAATATAGAAGATGGAGAGAAATATATTTTGACAGTATACTAAATATATCTTCAAAATATATTTGTATCAGATCTAAGCATCAGGATCTATATCCTAACATCTTCAAAAGAAAAGAAAGGTGAGTTTATGTTCTCGATTGATTAATAGCTCTTCACAGCCATGAATATTGTAGTTTGCAAAAGTTTGAAACCCTTGAGTGGACAGAATTTCAAACAAGCATCAAATGACATTATTTGAATGTTTCTTTTTTGAGTCAGACGAAAGAAAAGACGTCTGAGGATTGATACTCATCAAGATCAAGCTGTGGGCATGGCGTTGTCTTCCCACCAAACATCATAGACATTTAAACTCCAAGTTGATATCTACTTTTCAATCCCAATAACCCACACCTGGGAATGTCTTTTCATTTAAACTCCAAGATGGTTGAATTCCAAACCCAAAAAGAATCATAATTTCATTCAAGTTCTTCAGAAAACACAACTCTTCCAACTCTCTTCCTTGGTTGTTTCTCAGTTTCATAAACTTTTTCTTAGCTTAATGACGATTGTCTTACCCAGTAATGACGTTATTAAATGAGGTTTTAATTAGAAACTTATCGAATTAAAAACCCTAATCAATGAAGTGGATTTCCCTAAGTTCATAATTTGTTAATGAAAAAGAAAAAAGAATTTCAATTTGGTAGCTGAAGGGTCGCTTTTGGATGTGGTTAATGTACTTTGAAATTGAATACTTCATCATCAACTTAAGTGGGATGGTGGGTGGGAAAGTTTGTAATTTTTTAGGCTAAAATAATCCATTTCATCTACTTTAACAAAATTAACAAATAATTTAATAACAATGCAATTAATATTCATGTATGATCTTTATTCTCTTTCAACTTTTTATCCTACAAAATAATCTAATTATTTAAGTTTAGTGCATGGTTGCTTCCACTATTAAAAGAAAAAAGAAAAAAGAAAAAAGAAGCTAGAGCTCGACCAACGAACGTGAGTATAGTTCGTATAGTTCAAGAAGTTAGATATTAACGTTGCTTGTTGAGAAGAAAAGAGGATAACTATTATTGTTGCCTCTAGATTAGATGTTCTACTCGACGCATCTCTATCTCAGCTTCTTTCTAGGTTAATATTTACTCTCTGGAGAGTCCATCCCGAAAAGCT